TCCTGCGCTTCTGCGGAGAGGAGAGCAACCCAGCGTTCCATGGAAGAGTTCCAGCCAGCTCCACGTCTGCCCAGTTTGTTGTATTTTGCAGATTATCCTAAATGATGAGCAGAGGAGCCGGGTGTGACAAGAGCTGTGAACTTGCTTCAGAGGGAGTCACGAGTTTAAACAAGCGGGAGACAATTTATGGGCGCTGGTCCTTCTGAGATCAGGAAGCGGAGGCATTGCGTGAGTCACACAGTGCCTCTTGGGAAGGGTGAGGTACTTCGAGTGGAAGCAGGGAGCAAAAATACCTTTAAAATGGAATTTGATGGATTTCTGGAGGGATTATGTGACAAAGCAGCAACGATCCTTGAGCGGAAATTAAAGCTTGACCTGCAGGGTAGGTAAAAGAAAAGACAGGAGATCTGTTTGCTGTGCTGATTGTACCTGTGGCACTGGATATACAGGAGAGTAATCCAGTGCTTTGGGATTTATGCAGCACTGGTCTGGTTTCTTGCTTTTCCCTGAGCATCAAAGGATGAAGCCTGGCTGAAGTGTCAGGGTTCTGATGCTCCCAGTAACCGCCTACATAGATACAGCCTTGCTCACAAGTTCAAGGTTAAATTAATCACCAGAGTTTAGATCAGCAAGGCATTTTCTCTTGAGTCGGGTAAGCAGGAACATCAGGGTGAGTGTGCAGTGCTGCTGGTGATAGAGCAGCAGAGTCCAAACCTTGTGACATCCGTGAGATTCACAAGTCTGGAGTCAGCACCAACATTCCATGCAGTTGGAGGAGGCAGCAGAGGCAGCAGGAGAAGGTGGGAACTGAGCCGTGGAGGTTCCCAGCTGTGCACCCACAGGGCAGGTATCTGCAGCTTCTCAGCCTCCGTTGCCCTGGTCCAAGCTGGGAGTGGGTTTACTGCCTGGTGTCACTCCCGTTCGACTTGAACAAACAGCTCCTGTGAAAAGTGCCCTTCCTGTCCTGGTAGAAAGTAGCAACGAACCGAATTTCCCTTCTGTGGGGAATTCCAAAACTAGCTTTGTCTGCTTCAGAGGAAAAAAACCACAAATGCTGTCATGAGGTGACTGCGCTGACATTGCTGAGGTGTGGATATGCAGAGCTTCACCAGTCCTCGGCGCAGGCCAGGCCAGCCGGGTACATCCCTGAAGGGACCCAACTGTCTGGCTCTGTGCTGCTCAAGAGTGTCTGTCTGGACCACGCTGAAGATTTTCCTTCCATGACATGCTGCTGGTTGTTCACCAAGGATGGAGCCTGAGCACTGCAGTCCTTAGGCCATTTAGCTGAGGACAGAATTTCCTGTCCTTGCCCCCATCCCATTCTCTGATCTGTGCTGGTCTCGCCTCACTCATCCTCCCGTCGTTTCTGCTCCTCACTTGTTGCATTTGCAGCCGCCTCTACCCACCACACTTGAGCTCCGTGTGGCTGACCTCTGCCCGTCACCGCTGCCAAGTCCTGAGCTCTGGGTGGTTTTCTTAGCACTTCCAGCTCCGATGAGTGTGCGATAGCACAGCCCTGCGTCTGCCTTCAGTTAGGGCCGTTCCTTGCTCCGTGGGCTGGTGCTGTGGAGTGCAGCCTGGGAGTTCATCCTCACCTGCCCTCGCAAGGCTGATGGGCTGTTCTTGGCGAGTATTTCTATGCTCCAGCCAGCTGCCCAGTGGTGAATTTTGACTTCTGTGAGTTTATATCTAAATACATGAAATAATGTGTTTTCTCTCCTCTTCAGCACTGCAGGCTAGAAATCCCCTCTAACAAAGGGAAAAGTAGGACATTGCTCTGTTGCTGATAGTGCACAGCCACAGCTCTTCCCACACGTGCTGCATCCCCTGTCCAGAGCAGCCCTCGAGGCTGTGCTCGCCTGGAGCTGGCTTTTACAAGCCAAAGGAGAGGGACATTGCAGAAGGATGAGTATGCAGTTTGGCTCTGCCCTGGCTCCATCGTTAGTAAGCAAGTGCTCCACACAGGAGCAATGTGGAGGGGCTGTGCTGTGCCAGACAGCAGTCATTGATTATTTTTTTGTGTGTGTGTTTGTCTTTCTCATTTGCCATCACAGTTTGACAAAGAAGGGCTGGTCCCTGAGGTGGGGTCAGCTTGGTGCACCCCAAGCCTGCCTTTCCCTTGCTGAGTGATCAGCAGGTTGGAGCTGAGCAGAGCTCTGCTCTGACAGTCAGAGTCCTAGATTCTGCTGCCAGCTTCACCCCTGAGCTGCTGCTGCTGCTACCACCTGCCTGGAGAGGAGGTTAGAGGTGCCTGTGGCCCCCAAGCCAGTGGGAGAAAACACATGGGTTTTGCTCTAGATCTTGAAAGGGAAAAGACGTGCATTTCCCTGCTGAGCTGTGCTGCACAGCATGTGTGAGATGTCCTGTGTGCTGTTTTTCCTCTTTTAAGGGTGTTGAACATCAAATTTCTTGTTGGAGGAGCAGGCCAGGGGCTGTGTGGAAAGGGAGGGGGGTAATCGGGAAGGACGGGCAAAATAAGGTTGGCTTGGCTGTCTTCGGGAAGTTTGCACATGGACCAACCTGAGCTAATGGCTCTGGGTGTGTCATGTGGCACATCTGAGGGACACAAATGTGTCCTCTCCTTGGCCTACCATTTCTGGTTTGGTGACTCTGGGTAAGAGAGAAGCTGAGATGAATATCTATAGGAGAGGCAGAGGAGGCTGAGTATGGGACCAGTTGACCCACTTAGCATTTTGAAAGCCGTAGTGCTGGCCATGGAGTCTTAAGATGCTCTCTGTAGCCAAGACCTACCCTTCTGGGTTTCTTTTCCTAATCTGCTCTCTGCATTCCCAGGCATGGCCTCCTGGCTGGAGTTCTGTGGTGTGCGAGAGCTCAAGGCGCTCAGGAGACAGTAGCTCCTTGTTCCTCTCTGCACTGTCAGCATGGCTCCTGGGGCCATGAACATCACTGTGGTTTTGTTGCAACCGAATCATTGTTGACTTCATCTGTGATCCCAGCTCAGAAGAATGCTCTGATTTGATGCAGTGGGCTCGTGGGGACACAGCATGTCTCCATGTATCCATGGAAGATCCTTGTGGTTGGTGGCCATGTGGCCTGTGGTCCCTAGACAAGGGTTTACCAAGCCATGAGAATTCATAGGGGTTGGAGAGGGTTTGTTTGCAGCTATTGTGGTTTCTGCTGTGGAAGGACTGGTGAAACCTCTGTGTTACCTCAAGTGAGTCTGGATGCATTTCAGGTCTGCCCAGTGCAGACAGTGTGGTACCTTTGGTGCTCCTCAGTCATGCACAACCTTGCAGACCCCGGTGGTGGAGTCCTCCAGTCAGGAAAGCAGGGATTAGGTATTGTGAATCTGGGACTAAAAGCCAGCATCAAGAGTGTGGCCTGACTTATACTGGGCTGGGGGGATGTTGTAGGATTATCACCTCCCTGAGGAATGGAGCAATGCTGCAAAGTAGGGGCAGAGCCGCTGAATGGGGACGTGTTCTGAGAGGTGGCGGTTCTTGTCACACCTGGATCTCGGTCCACGCCTTCTGCTTGACTGTTGCATGCGGAAATGACTGGGAACAAAACGCAATGGGTGTAATTTAAGGATGCTGCTGGCAGAGCAGGATGGTTTGGAAAAGGGCTTCATGCATGCAAGATGACAGCTGCTGCATGGCGGGAGTTTTCCTGCTCTGGGAGTGTTTCCAGTTCTCCACTTATTTTTCTCAGCCTTTAGGACCTTGTGCCTGCAACTTCTGAGGTTGCCTTCCTTTAGCTTGCAGAATGGCAGCATAGGTAAAACTGTCTTTCTTTTTTCTTCTTTTTTTCTTTTTTTTTTTTTTTTTTTTTTTTTTTTTTTTCAGCATGGGGTGTGTTTCTAAGACCTTTCCACTCCCAGAGTTGCCCCCAGGCTTCAGACCACTGGAGACTTTGCAGTAACTTCATACTTTATAGCAGAACCCGGTGTCAGCCATACTTGTGGTGTGTGGTGGAAGCCCTGGGTTGTGGCTTGAGGTGGCCAGGGCAGACCCTGCTGATCGGGTGCTCTCTGGAGCCGCTGCCAGAGACCTGCGGTTGCCAGAGAAGCAGCGGGAGCTCTGGCTGGGAGCGGGGCAGCGGCCTGCGTCCGTCCTTGTGTGCGAGCAGAAAGCTGCCCGGGAACCTGTGAGGCAAGTGGCAGGTTCCTCCAGCACCACCAGTGTTGCCATCTTGTGTGACTTTATTATACCTGCTGTGATATTAACCCCCCAGCTGCCGGAATCATGTGATTATATGAGATTATCAGTTTTTGTCTGTTTCATATAAATGACTGTTCAGTTCCTATGGCTGCATAGAAAAGCTGGAAAGCAGATTTTATAGGTAGGTTCAGAATCCAAACTTGCAGTTTGAATGATTTTTCTGTGTGTGCTAGGCCATTGCTGGGATGGGAACTCGTGCTTAACAAATACACTGATACTTCTTTACTTGGAAATGTTTTCAAAGCTTAAATGGTTGCTGTAAGGTCCAGAATACATCAGCTGCTATTCCAATTGGATTCAGAGATGAGGCTGCAATGTAGCCTGGACTAGACAATAGATGGACCTGCACCGTGTGGAGGCAAATCCACGTCAACCAGGACTAGGATCTGGGAGTTAAGTTTGGACCCAGCTTTTTGGGAGCTTTCCAGACCCTTTAGACCTTCGCACACACAACCAGAAACAGCACGTTTTCGCCCAGAGCAGGTTTCCTTGCAACAAATCGTTGTCTCGGCTGCATCAGTCAGGATATCTAAGGAACCCTCCAGCTGAATAAGCCCATCTGACAAAAGGAGTCAGACTCATGGCTGGGACGGCATCCGGTACGTGCACAACCTCTCGGCGGGACGCTGGCAGAGTGAGAGAGACGTTGCTTCTGGCCTGCGGCCGTGGTGGCTTTTGTCCTGTCCTTGCTGGCAGGCT